ACTGAAGGGAAGTCACATAATATTAAGATTGGTTATGCTCAGATAAGTTTAATACTTGAATCATATTTTAGAAGTTTCAATAACATTAATGCATTTTTATTTCTTAGAATCTGACGCAACTTGAGAATGCATTTCAAACAAATAAGAAAAATGAACTGCAGATCAAGTGTTTGAAAATGACTATTTTGACTACATTTATGGTATCATGATCACAGGCATGAAGTGATACTTTATCATATATACTTCAGACAGTATTTTCTGTACAAGCAGTAGTGAATACTAAATAAATCTTACAAAGATTGTAATCAAAGAAAACCCTGATTTACTTTGTAGTAATGTGAAAAGGATTATTGGTATTATTGTAGGGTTGTTAAAAGATAGAGTTAGTCTAGATAATTCTCCTGATAGTAAGAGGGTTAGGATCAAAAAAATTATCAAAAGTAATATATATCGTGAGCTATGGCCTGAACTTTGTATTTATTTTTTACTTGTAATAATAAAAAAATCACATATACATTATAATTTATAATGCCAATGCCAAGAAAAATACATTATATGAAAATTATATGTTTTCCCATATCTTTACTTTTGGATCTGTGCTTATCTAATTCTCTTCAATCTATTTTCTTGCATGATTGAGTATTTCTTTCTTAAAATATAAGTGTACTGTTATGTTATCTTTCTATCTCACCTATCTGAATATATCTAAAGCTTTAAAACATTTAAAAATATCTTTATTATTCTATTCATTTATAGTTTCATTATGAAGGGTAAGGAACACCAAATTAGATTTAAAAATAGGAATCCTAATACCATGTGAAAAGGATTTATAATAATCGTCTAGTGGATAGAATTTCACCTTATTTTTTTCAAAATAGGCAGAGGAGGAGACTGTTCTTAGATTATGAGAAATATCTATAAGTGGTATGTAATATTGGTTAGAGTGGTCAGTTAACTTTAATATAGTACGTTCATCTGTACCTTATTTTTAGAACTATACTTCAACTTTTCAATTACGTTCCAAAGCTGATATTATATTAGAATAGTAGTTTCCATCTCTAGTGGCTAATACTAGAATACCAGAAAGTTTGCACGTTACAGCCTTATCAGTCACTGAAAATGTCACAAAAATTTAAGGCAAATTTTTTTTAATATGTTTGCTATAATGAAATTTTCAGTGCAGTATTACCTTTATATATACTCTATATATATAATTTAAAATTGTTCAAAATTAGTTAAATCAGCTAAAATCACCAATTAATAAATCATAATTCAGGTCAAAATTTTGTTAATTCTGACTGATCTTATAATTCTGATCTAAATTTCATTAAAATAAAAAAAATCAGATCATATGTAACATCGCATTTATACAATATAATCAATCTAACTTAAATAATAAAGAATAAACTTATTGACTGCTTCTGCAACTTTATTAAAAAAATATTTATATACTCTTTATTATTTAACTTCACTTTTCATTAGAAGTTAATGTATTTTTGATATTAAAGATAATAAAAGGTAAGAGAAACTTGGCTATTGCCAAACACAATAAGAAATTTAAAACTTTAAACTAAAATCAATAAAATATAGCGTACTTTTTTTATTTAAAAACTAAAAAAAAAAACCTTTTTTTTTAGATTTGAAATTTTTATTATAATGAATTTAAAGGAAAACTTGGAATATGAGAATTTAGAGAAAGATTTATCGGATAAGAATGAAACTTTTACAGTGAATATGAGAGTTTAAGTAATGTAAAAAATAATGAATCTTTATTTGAATTAGATTTCAATATGCTCACAAGTATAAAAATATTGGCTTAACAAAATATTTTGGAGAATGATGATTAGGGTGATATAAATGATGTAAAAAGTAATTTTTCTGAGACAGAATCTGATGAAGAATGTGATGAAATAATTGAAAAATTACAAAATAATGAAAAATTAAGTCTGAATGTTATAATTGATACATTAGATAATAAAATTTAATGATATAATTCTAAAACAAAATTAAGACGACTTTGATAAATAATTGGTACATGACAAATTGATAAAGAAGAAGTTAAGGTGAAAAATTTTTCAATTGAGAATTTGGGAGTTTGTTACTCACATTTTTTATATGATCAAAATCAATTGCATTTATCAAATTTAAAACAAACTAAAAATTATACTGAGAGTATTATTCATAATCATAGATGTTTATTTTGTAATAAAAATAAATTTTTTTTTAGTTGTGATTTTAATTGTGAAGAACATTCATATACAATTATAGGTAAAAATATTTAAGTACCTTATATAGGACAAATCAAATGTGATGCATTACAAGCATTATTCTTTTATAATTTTAACAAAATCAAGTAAAAAAATACATAATATATTTATATGACTTGTATAAAAATAATGGTAGATATATTTAGCGTATTAAATGAGATGTAAAAAAAGATCTGAATTGTGATAACATATCACATCATAAAGATAATACTAAAAAAGCATTAGAAGCAATTGGATATTAGATTCTTAATATCGCTAATTCTGATAAAATAATATTTCAAGAAAAGGTTTTAACGCAGCTAACTCCTATTTTATATATTATTAATACTAAAGAAAAATCTAATACTTTATCAATACCATTAGAAATAAATGATAAAGTACCTTCTTTATTTATAATACTTATTATTCTTATTTTAACAAAATTTAATTACAATTTTGACAAAAAATTAAATCCTAAAAATCTTACACCAAAACATTTTTTTGAATTTGAAGAAGTATTAGCATATTCAATAATACTTGTAAAAAATGAATTAAAATCCACAAAAAATTACTTAAGTAACCTACTTCTATAGAAGAGTATTGCACTGCATTTCCTTTATGTTTAATACAATTCTATGATGATCTTTTGAAAACTTTATATGAAATAAAAAAGAAAATTATAGACTGACAAAGAAAGTATTGTGGAAAGCAACTAAAATCTTTAAATTATGAAAAAATTACCAAACAAGTCACATTTTTTGTTTTAATGGTTTTAAATATTGCATTTAAAGAATGGAAAATTTGATTATTTCAAATAATGGCAAGTCTTTGCTAAAAACTAAAACTTCTGTCATCACTGCAAGGAATTTTAGAAGTTGTTAATATTATAAGTTATTCTTAAAGACATGAACGAAATTTGAAAAAATTTGTGTTCTTTTAATAGATCCAACTGACTGAATTTGTCGTGAAAAAAATATTTGAAATCTTGGTATAATTGATAATGTGAATTTTAAGGAGGTTACATTTAGTTATGGTAATATTTTTGATGCTATTAGAGGAAATTCACATGCTACATTGCGTATGCTATTTCAATATCATCTACTTGAATTACCTGAAAATTTTAAAGAATAAGAACGAAATTAGCAAAAACTTTTTAGACAATAATTTTTCACAACAAACATTTCATATTTTTAACTTAGTTTTTGAAAAATTACTTACATTTAATGAAAATTCCACTTCTAATTATCAATCAAATTTTAATGAAAATGATATATACAATCAAATTATGATACATTTTAAAATTGATTCTAATCTTGCACCTCCTAATATTATAATTCTTAATGCTGGAGATTTACTATCAAATGATTCTGCTGTACATGAATGTTTAAAGATATATTTAAGTGAAATTGAAATGAAGAATGATAAATATATTAATGTAGTTGCAGATGAAGTAATTTTTAAATGAGGTATTAGCTATTGTAAAATAAATAAAAAAACAAAAATGATCCTTGAACAATAGCATACCAACAAGGATATGATGATGACATTAATTACAATTTTTTAAGGTTATGGAATATTCAACATGGTAGGAATATTAGGTGTACAATTTTTGGATAAATTAGAAAAGGACATAAACTTTAAAGCAACTTCAAGAGTACTGAAACTAATTTGGATTTCTGTAGGTATAGCAATTTATTTATATATAAGAAAAAAACAAGTGTTAGATAATATTTTAAGAAAAGAAAATAATTTTGTAAAAACTTGGTATTTGTATTTTCAATAGGCTAGCTACTGGTGTGTACATTGATATGGGATTCAATGGGAAATATTTGATTTACAACATGAAAGTTTAAAAGCTTTCTTACCTTTATTTTCTGTTGCAGAAAAATCCAATTATGCCAAATTAGTAACATATCATTCATTGTATAGAGAATAATCCTCAACTTTATAAATGCTTCGTATAGCACCATTTGTTAATTTGATAAGTACTGAATATTTTTTTGCATATGATAAAGTGCTAGAAACATTTGATGTAAAATTTGTAAAACAAAATATAATAAGAATTCTAGTAGATAGAGAAGAATTAAAACTGAGAATAAAAGCCACACAACTAGAAAAGAAGCGAACAGAGATGTTGATTTGTGATTACATTGAAGATTCTGTTCAAAGTTTCTGATCACATAATATTCAATCTTGAAAGAAAAAATTTGAGAGCTTGCACATTTATTGATTAATGCTTTTGAATCAGAAAGTTTTTTTAAAAATCTAATATTTGAATTCTGTAATAATATAAATAATGAAGGAGTTAATAAATTAGTTATTGCATATGATATTGGAATTAAAAGATTATAAACAATAGTAAATCAAGAAATTCTTTTAACAGAAAATTATACAACTGTTAGAAGGAAGGCAAGAAATATTATATGTGTCATAGTTGTTAATATTGTTAAAATGAAAAAGGAAAGAAAAATAGAATTAAGAAAGGAAAAGGAAAAAGAAAAGGAAAGGAAAAGGGGAAGGGGGGAGAGGAAAGGGAAGAAAGAATACATCGTCTGATGTCAATAAAGAAGAAGTGTAATCTACCCAGCAGTATGATTCAAAAAAAATAAATAAATCAAAAAAATAAATCAATTATCATCCATTCATCCCTAACTGAAAGGAAAAAAATAAAAAAAAAACATTAGTAATGTTTTTGAAACAAAAAAAAAATAAGAAATAAGAAAAGAGTTAAAAATACTACCTTTTTCTAATTACCTATCCTGACCATCCAAGCGCCAAGTCATTCCTAAAGAAAAAAAAGAAAAGAATTGTTAATTACATTTCCAGAACAAAAAAGTTACTATCTGCAACTTTACTTATATGAATAAATCAACTTATTTTTATTCAACTTTATGAAAGGTAAATTGATAAAAATTAGTGTAAGCATAATAATATAGTAGCTAACAAATATAATTTAAAAGAATTGTAAACATAAGAATATATTAATAATTAATAAAAATTAGACGAGTTTTGTGTATTTTTTTTTATTTAATTTAAAAAGACTTTTTATTATATATATTATAGTAAAGATTAATTTTTTACATTTTACGCAAAAAATTACATAAATAACTACTATTTTAAACTTAGAAATGTTTTCATCACATAAATTTGCATATATTACCATTATCAAAAGTGTTTTTTTCTCTCCGCTTCAACTTCAATCTTGAAAAAAACTCATTTTTTAAGGTGGTTTTGCATGAAATATATTAAAAAAAAATTTACTAAAATAGAAAAAAAACGATAGAAATTAATAGAACACATGATAATCTATAAATTTAGTAGAATTTGACAGTTAATTATTAAAATGAAGTGATCAGGTCAACATTACACAAAATCAATTTATTATTAAAATGATTTGTGTGTAAAATTTCCAGGGGGTCAGCTAAAGCAGAGTAGTCACATGAAACAAAATGTATGCTGATTGGTCCAAAAATGTTGACAAATACTATTAGTTAAAAACACTATTAAATTTAAAATGTTTTTTACAAATTATTAATTTTTTTATTATTGTTAAATTGCATAATAATTGGTTCTAAAGATGTTTCTAACAAATTTATATATGCTTCTGTCTATTTAACATTACCCCTTTCTTCAACTCACCAATACTCATCATGAATCCTTTCAATTAACTCATTAACGGTAAGTTTTTGATTTTTCACCTTTTTTGTTGTTTAGTTTGTTCAAAAATTTTTATTAATTCACGATGTTCATATACTTCAAACCCGCTCTCTTCAAATGCTTTTTGAAACATATTTCAAATTTTACCGGTCAATAACCTCATACTACCATACATATGTTCATGAGAAATATGTTTATATAGCAATAGATATCTATTGCAAAATAAACAATAACAATTAAGTGATGTTAGCCCAGATGCTCGTTTTTCTTTTTCTAATCTTTCTATAACTAAAGAAGCTTTTTTAATAAGTAATTTCTGAAGAAGATAAGAAAACTTTGAATTTCTTTGAGAATATCCTCTTCTATATCTAAAGCTGATATTTTTTTAGTACAAAAATCACAGGTAATTTTTTTAGAATTTAAACGCCTTTTCAAATTAAAAGCATCAATTTTATGAACAGCACCTAATAAAATAAATAAAATATTTAAAACAATAAAAAAAAAATTAAAGAGATTTAAAATAATAAAATATTTTTACCAATTAATCTATATGATGAAGATGTTTCTCTTTTTAATTCACTATGGTAAGATTCTAATGAATTTGTAGAAGTAACTTGTAAAAGCAAAAGTGAGTGTTGCCATGCTCATAATACCTATTGTGATGTATTCTTAATGTAATTTCTTTTGATATAATTTTTAATAGTAGGAATAGGACAGGTATTGATGACATCTTGTATAAGCTTTTCACATCTAATTTTCATTCTTTTGTACATTGCTGCGACCATAATATCTCATATTTTTTATCATAAATCTTGGTCATCCATATTCGTATAATATGAACAGTGCAGAGAATTATCTCACATTCTTGTTCACCACCATTAAGATCAGGAAAAACCTTTTTAATACTTTTTACTTCAATGCTACTTTGATCTGAAAGAATGTACCAGGAGGTCTATTGGCAATATTTTTCATGAACTATTTTTAATGCTTTTGCAATGGTATCACTATCCTCATTGCTTATAAGAAAGTGTGTACTAGCATTCTAACACCCATAACTATCTCAAATATATAAGGTGAAAAGACGCTAATCAAATCAGTTGATTTTATGAGTAGAATCAATGAGTGTTGACCAGCCATGATGCAAAAGTTTTTTAAGTTATTCAGGGTAGGCAAACACAAAACCTTTAGTAGACTGTTGGAAAATATAATAACTTTTAACCTGATATCCTTGATTGTTAAATATGATATAGCCTCCACCATATCTTTTTTTAAGTCACGATTACTAATAAGATGGGCCTCCATAGGTTCACAAATTTTATACTTTATATTCACTATTTTTTTTCATCTTAAATCATATACACTTAAACCAAGACCTAATTCAGTTGTTGCATACTCCTTTACAGCAGCAGTAATTACCGTTAGAGTATAGTTTTTAATTGCCTCTTTTTCAACTAAAGTTCGAACAGCTTGTGAGCGTTTAATCCTATCATTTTCTCTCAAGTCATGGGTATGATCAGGTGAATTACTATAACGTTCGATTTTAATAATTCTTAAAGAAACTAAGCGTATAACTTTAATTTTTGCTTGGCAAATATTTGAAGGTCAGATTGCTGTTTTTCTATGCTTATTAATCAGAATATTTTCTTTTTGCCTTTTACTTGATTCTCGATGTTTTGTAAGCCGACATGCAAAAACCTTCCAAGAATCACCATTAGCAAGTTTCCATAAATTCCATTGTATTCAAATATTTGTAATCAAAGGCCACCAATTGTTATCAAAATCTCTGATTGGAATTTCTAAAGTACTATTTACATTAAAAATAAGACTCCAAATTTCATCTGGAGTAAGGTTAACTAAAGAAGACATAGCCGTTAAAGAGGTAGTAGAATTCTTGTTATACAAAGGAAATGTAGCTGCTGAAGAGGTAGTAGAATCCTCATTGATTAGAGGAAATATAGCCACCGAAGAACTAGTAGAATCCTTGTTAAATAAAGGAAATATAACCGCCAAAGAGGTAATATAATCCTCATTGACTAGAGGAAATATAGCTGCTGAAGAACTAGTAGAATCCTTGTTAAACAAAGGAAATGTAGCCGTCAAAGAGGTAATATAATCCTCATTAACTAGAGGAAACATGGCCACCGAAAAGGTAGTAGAATCCATAATTTACCGCAACCTTCCTGTTTTAAATTGAGTGTAAAAGTTTACTTCTCTTAAAACTAGATAAAAAACAGTATAGTGCTAATAACATAGCTGAAAAAAGAGCTATGATACTTCCAACGTGTAGAGTATTTTCTTTGATAATAAAGTTAAGTATACATTTTATTTTTATTTTTATTTATTTTTTATTTTTTTATTTTTATTTTTTTAATTTTTAATTCTCCTAGCCAATGGCGTTTACCCATTATCCCTAACCAATTATTGTACGTTCACGTGAGGTCACGTTATACTACTCCGCTTTAGCCATCCCCCATTTCCAGTGGCTGTTATAAATGGCTTCTCCTAACGTAGGATCTACCCCTTTTTCACGATTTTTTGCATTTCTCTCAAGTGTATTAACTTCATAGTCCTTCTCTCTGATAAAATCCCATAATTTTTCATTACTTGGAGGACGAGAACCTACAAGAACTGGTTTACCCTCCCTTGGGCGCCCATTAAGAACTACCTCAAGTAACAAGCCGTGGTCTATGTGGAACTCATTTAACTGTCGATATCCCTTTTCTGGAGGACAACCTAATTGTTCCCCTGGATAAATGTATTGGAATCATCAACAAACACGTGAACACATCATTAGGTACTGGCTGGATCTGAACTGCAATATGAAAAAAGTCTTCGTCTAACCCATTAGGGAAAATTTGTTTTATTTCCTCTTTAGAACTGCTTAATTCTTTACCGCCTAGCACTTCTTTAATACCCAAGACAAATGGTACATAGCTTCTAACAGTCCCTACTAGCTTTGGATATTCCTTTTTAGGAAGATTTATTTTCCATATCGTGAACTTGTCTTGTTCATAAAATAAGTAACCTCTTTTTGCCCTAATTTTCTCTTTAAGACCGTCAATATTATCCTTTTCTTCAACTTTGAAAGATAAATCTCCTGTGTATGCGGTTGCAGCAACTAAGCAACTTATTGACAGCATCTTTCCTGTAAAGAATTTTTTATTTCAAAAATCATGATCGGGTCTTTATGACATATAATGCGCAGTAAACGTAATTGGCTCATGTGATCCGCAGAATATACTATGCGCATTTATACGTCACCGGCATCCGCAGTCGTCATTTTTAGATCCATTAATACCCAAGCCAAGAGCAAATATTTTTGTATTGCTATAGTGATGAACTTTCCCAATGTTCTGGTATGTTCTATCTCACTCATTACGTGAATTACTAATAAAAAAACCACATCCCTGATTTACATTTTGCGGATCGTAAGACGGGGGCGTCGTTAAAAAGAAAATCAAAAATGGAAATAGAGCGATTAGAATATAGTGAAAGCTCGTTATAGTAAACTGTCGGTTCCGGCCACTTTTGTTCACAATAACGAGATTTTACTAATAGTTCACTATATCGAACGAAATTTATTATAAAAAAATGAATCGGGGAAAATAAAAAAGTTCACTATAATGAAAGTTTACTATGTGTTCACTATAACGGGATTCACTATAACGAGCTTTGACTGTATATGATTTACAGATCCTCGGATAAACGGTATATTTTTATTATCCTACTGACGTTAGAGCATTCAAATTACGTATACAGGTTAATCACAGATTAATCCGGTTTTGAATAGGAATTAGTGGTACATATGTGATTACAATTGAAAAAAAGATACACCACATGTTTTACAAGAAATAAATGGAAAATTTTACAGGCGAGTAAGGCACCTTTTAGCATAGAATTTACCGAAGAAGCTTTGGATGAGAAGTCTGAAGAATACCAAACATTGCGTAAGGGTGTTAAGAAGGTTTTAGGCATAATCATTGGCTTATTGGAAGATAGGGCATGTGTGGAGGACAAATCGGTAAGAAAGAGAGCTAGGATAGAGGGTTACCGTTCGAAAAAATAAGCATGTATAGTAGCATAGAAACTTCATGTATCACGGGCTACGTCCTGAACCTTTGTATTTATTTTTGCATGTATTAATAAAAAATTTTCTTTGCAAGAAAAACCGGGACAAATTTGTTATGATCAAACCGGCACAACCTAATGGTTTTCTTGCCAGAATGTTATATCATCTTATATATACTAACAAACTTTTGAATATTTTAATAATTATCATCCATCATGTCATCTGAGCTAAATAACACTGCTTTTACATTCATTTTTACTTGCACTTTCTCAAATAATACTTTTACAAAAATACAATAAAGTCTTGCCTTTATGATAATTATTTTTTATTGATCATAATAATTTTTATATTACATAGTTTAAAATCCAAAGTGCAAAGAACCTTCTCACATATACTAAGTATTATAATGTTCTGCAAAAGAATCCTATAATATTTTATAAAGATGCAGTTACCAAATTGATCTTTCTTATATCACGCTTTTTTTAAATTAGCAAGCCGAGCTTTCACAATCTCTTTTGCTTGTCGTTTAAGTTCCACATCAGGTATCATCTCACCAGTGTCTTCCATAATCTTGAGCCTCTTTTCTGGATGATAAAGTAAATTCGCAAGGCCTTCCATTTCATTGATTCCTAAGACATACATGTCTTTTGTAAATTCGCACCATTCAAATAGAATGCCACGGCTATCTAAAAACAAAATATTCATTCCATAATTATCTACAAGTAATGGATTAATATTAGTGATACCATATGCATCACTGAAATATTCCTTATTTTCCTCATCAATTATCCATTTATATTTAAGTTGGGATTCATCGAATTCATGAAATTTACAATTATTCCTGACAGCATCAACCAATTCTGACAAGCTTCGCAATTCTCGCATGGCAACATTACTTCTTTTGTCTGAATCGATATTGTTCGAGTCTTGATTGGAAGATCCGTTCTGAACTGGCATAAGGAAGTCCAGGCATTCGTCTCCGCACAATTCCCGAATTCCCACTTTGCTATCATTGAAATCACATCTCCATCTTCCCGAGGAAAAAGGTATCGGTCGATGCTTTGTCGGGATAAAGCTACTTCTTCCTTTGTCTTTTTGTGAGCTGAAACTGACGCACCAAATGCAACGCTTATAATTTTCTCCTGGTCTACTTTCCAAGAAGCGTAGATTGCTGTTGGACGTTTGTTGCGACTCACCATCATAATTATCCATCGACGAAGTTTGCTCGAGATGCCGAAAAAGAAATTTCACCTGTCTCAGGTATGTGAATTCCTTTATCTTTTTCTTGGGATCTTTCTTTGAAAGGGGATGGTTGATCGTGTAGAGGTTCTTTAGGAGGGGATAGTTTATCGTGTAGAGGTAACAGAGAGCATCCTCTGGGGTTTCTATGGAGATCGTGGCTCCGTTCACACTCACAGTCATTGGTTGTGGACAATCGGTTCCCATCAACATCATGTCATGCATAAAAGGAGGCGAAAGCCAAACCTTGAGACTTACTTGTATGGCAGAAGAAATTGCTCGTAAACTTCCTTTGCAACTCTGCTCTTCTGCGCCATTTTTTCGATAATCTTCCAGATCTATGAAAAATACTTTAGGGAATTCCTTTTTCTTATTTTTCGTAACAATGCTAAAGTTACCTTTTCTAGTGTCCATTTCTTCCTTAGTTGAAGATAAAACATAAGGATCAAGGTTATCGGAAGTAGAGTTAGCTGAGGCAAAGTTAATATTATCCATTTTGATGTACTATTAAAAATATCAATAAAAAATTTTTAAAGAATATAATAAGATGAAATGAGTAAGGAAAGTGAGTAAGGAGACAATTAAATTATATTATACATACATATTTATATTTAGTTTTGTGCTACACGGTATCCCGATCAGTGTTAACATTAGTCACGTGATTAGAGATGGATCTTATGGTTACGAAAATTTTCAGAGCTTGCAAACTAATCATGGAATGCAAACGACATAAACTTTTCGGCATAAGGTTAATGTTATGAACTATTGGTTTATTTTCCATCACTGCATATCTTGTATAAGTATAACTGACGACTGTTTTATATTATCTAGAATATCAGTTATTTGGGCAAATGAAGAAGCTAATGTTGAGATAATGTATTAGCATAGGTTGTAAAAAACTGGAGTAATTCTTAGGCATTAGTATAGAATCATTTCATTTTATAAAACGAAATTACAGCATGTATCATGGGCTACGTCTCAAACTTGTATTTATTTTTTGCATATATTAATAAACATTTTTTTCTCAGCAAAAGTGATTTGCGTTTCAAATTGAAATGGACACAATGACTTTTTTATTTTGAATACTTGTATAAAGTGTTATCAAAATGAAATCTGAGATTGACTTACTTAGGCAAGAAAATGTCAGATTTGTGATTAAGAATTATGAGCTTGAGGCTGAGATTGTGAAACTAAGGCAGATTATTGAGGAGAATGCTAGGCATGATATTAGAGTTGAGGAACTAGAGCAAAAAAATAGGAAACTTGAGACTAGACTTGCGATATTAGAACAGAGTTCCTTAGTGGTAGGTAAATAACTACAGAATGATAAGGAAGTGATTGTAGAAGTACTGCCAGAGGTAACGGTATTAAATATTAATTTATCTAACACCATAATAGATCAGCGAAATAATGTTGACACTAAAACATCAGAGGAAATAGAGTTGGATGCTTTCTTAGTTGAGGTAAATAAGAAAAGCATTAGCGATTAAATTAGAGAGGAGATGAGAAAAGAAGATTCAGCATAAGATAATTGCCAAAGACTCATCCTCAGTTACTTCAGACTTGACTCACTGTGAAGAGAATCTCTTTATGACTAGCATTGAACCTGTAACCCTCCCAGGATAGGTAGTCAAAGAATTAATTCCAGTTACCTCTGATAATAAATCATCTGCTGGAACATCACCAGTAAAATCATCTATGGTAGAGACTTCTGAGAATATAAATACGGAGTGTCAAAAAATTCCTTATAATCAAAAAGTGGAGTAAGATTTGAAACGGTAACTATCCTTTACTAAAGTTAGTGATAATAAAATTAATAAGGTGTTTGATATTCAGATTCTTAAACTCTCTTTAGAAGCAATTCTGATGGAATCTAGTGAAGTTACGATACAGAATATAGTTAATTTATTTAGAGTAGTAATGAAGCTTAGACATAAGGAGATTTTATACTGATATTGTTACTATAAAGCATATGAGAATCAAGTTGGAAATATTAAGTCTATGAATAGTATTATTAATAAATCAGCAAAAATATTAATGTACAGCGAAATCAAACCTTTCTTTCTGACATTACTGATGTAAACTTATGTAAAATAACTTTTAGAACTAAAAAAATCTATATATTGTTTGATAGGATAGAAATAAATAGAATCCAAATAATTAGCTGTAATGCAAGTGCTATCTTGAATTTATCTGATAACCAGATCTAAGATATTATAAATGATTTTTCCAAAAAAGCTACTAATACAGATAATGTAAGTTATGAAATTTCGTTTTAAATTAGAATAAACATGTGACTTCAAAAACCAATAAGACTGAAATGCAAGTGAATCTCTTGGAAATAAGTTCATCAGCAAGTATATCATCTGTATTTCAATCTGAGCTAACTTATGATCGATTTTATTTTAGAAATAAGACATTGAATCAATATTCTAATTTATGTAGGGAATTTAGTAGTGAAAATTTTGATTATTATGGTATTATTGACGAAATATCATGCTCATTATGCAGTTTAGATCATGATGATAAGGAAATCATAGAAGGTAGGTATAAATCCCAATCTTACTTTATTAAATGTGAACAGTGTGAAATTAAGATAACTGCATAGTCTCATTATTTTATAATATTACATTTGCTTATACTTCACTATGATATTTTTTATTTTTTTATAAACTAATTTATGTCAGCAATTATCTATTGTAATTTAAATTGATTTGCAATTATATAAAAAGGCAATATGAGCAAGTCTGAGAAAGTATTAACCTCTGAGTATCTGGATTGGCTTGCTAAATTAACTGGTTTATTATACGTTTTGACAGACAAGATTCATTCTAATTTATATAAAAAACATAAAAGAGAAACTGGATATAAACTATAGTAATTACCAAAAGCTGTAATAAATATATTAGCAGAACCTTAAGCCTCTGATTTCAAACTTTTCACTTTCAAAGTTAAATCCAATCTAGAATTAATTATCAAGTCTATCTTAAAACATTTCACATACCTGAAATTCTGAAATAGTTTCAGAGGGATTAATAATTATAATTTTACATCACTTTAACTGTGAAGCTCACCATATCCTATTTGCGATAGAAAATATAGAAATTATGAATTATATAGCGAATGGTATAAAACAAAATATTGTCTTACTTGCTTTATTTCAAGCAATAAATTTAAATTTAAATTTGCAATCGTAGCATAGAAACTCTGTCATGTGAGACTGATCACTTAAAATGCATAGAAGATACTCAGTAAAATTCTTACTGAAAAATAGGGGCTGTGTGATATGTAAATCAAATATATATTCGCATTATTTTTTTCAACTTTATTTTTTGCATCATGTTTTCAACCACACTATTATCATATCAATAAAATAATATTCAGGTATAGATATTTTTCTAGCAATCATTATTTCGCATATGGGATAGGGATATTTATGCTAATCATAAAATTATTTTTTATTGATTTGCAAGAAATTAACAAATGACAAAATGCAATGCATAATTGCTGGTAAATATCCAGAAAATATTTTCTCCTGTGAAATTTACAAGTGATATAAAAACAGATTAGTATCTTTTTTTGAATCCTATTATTCAGAAAGAAAAGGAATCAGTATGACAGATTCTGAACAAAATAATGAGCTGATTTCAGAATTGCTCAAGACGCTTAGAGAAAAAAAGTATTCACTCATCTGATAATCCTTTTCTTGTTAGGTATAGAAACCTCAGATATAATATTTTCAAAAGTCTCAATGATAAAGCTGTTAGAGATATAGATTTTTCAAAATTAGAATCATGTTTTGAATGTAATAACGATATTTGATATTTTCTTTCAGAGAGTTCACCCAACTATGCTGTGAGCACATTTTTCATAGACTCTGTACTGAAAAAAAGCTTATGCTTAATATATCAAACCCATGTCTATTCCCTGATTGTGAAAAGAATGTAAAAATTACGAAAATATTTTCTATTACTATGAATTATCTGATTGGTTGATTGCTAGAATCAAATGTTATTATTCAAGATTCACCATTATTTTAATCAAGTGAAACTTCAGCCTTAACTAACGTGATAAGCGAAAGATTTATTCTAACTTCTTTACCCATATGTATAGAAGGGTTGAGAATATAGGAATTCAACAAATGGGAAGTTAATTAAAATATTAAATATTCTGAGAACCTTTCTTCATATTTTCCTCCTCTAGGCTTTCTTCAAACCTTTTCTCATCCTCTACTAAAACCTTTCGTATATTTAATCTGCAAATATATTGTCTATTACAACTGTATTGATAATTCACAAAAGCTGTGTCCTATATATCCATCATCTGATATAGAAATTGATGATTTGGAAACTCCAACAGAGCAGAGTTCAAGTATTGCGCAAAAAAAATGTACTAGAGAATTGTTTATATTTACTGAAAAATTGTCTAATAAAAAGGTGAAAAACAGATGGGAAAAAGGTATTATCTATATTAAAAAAACTTATCGAAGAATTATTAGCTAATACACCTGTTCTCATTATTGGAGAAAACTTAGAAGAAGTAAATGAAAGCGCAACCAGTATTTTTTTGTAATTCTCTAATAAGATTGATAATGCTAAAACTAAAAATGAAGATGCATCTTGAGGTCTTATTTTTAGCTATTTTAATTTTAGAAAAGCTGCATTTAAACAATACAAAGAATTAAAATTTGAATATAGTAAGAATGGATCTCTAACATTAGTCAAAAATGAGGTTAGAGAAACAATTTCTGAAACAAAATATTCTGATAAAGCTTTGTAGAAAAAGATGAAAAGATCTGAAAAGGTTTATAAGCTTTTTAATAATATAGGTAAAAAAAAGATAGCATAAATAAAATCCATCACAGATTTCATCTTAAATCTAACTAAGAATGAAAAAGATTATGTAATAGCCAAATCTTAAAATGAAAGGTTTATTAATATAATGCGCCATTTCTTTTACGTAATTAAGTTGAATCCAAATACTATATCTAGATTCTACTACTAAAAAAAACAGAATTCGTTCACATGTATTTTCAAATATATAATAAAGCATTTGCATATTCCGCCTATATTAAGCTTTATTTTTTAAATATGTATAACTGATTGCTAAACATCATGGAAAATAATTTGCTGGGCCCGAACATTATGTTCAGACTCTATCATTGAATACTCAAGATAAATTTAATCAGAAAAAATCTGAAATCTGATTGGCTAATCATCTCGTGATTTATAGAAACTTGCCAGCTCCTGAAACTTTTCTAAAATTATCAAAGAATTGGCAGAAATCTAGGGTGATACATATAATATGATATACGTTATTAACCCTACACTCAGCCCGTCAAACTTAGAGTAACTATGACTTAATAACAGGGAGTAACGTGTGAGAAACTACTAAGTTACTGTGAAATAAGTCCTATCACAATCAACCTTAGGTTTATATTTTTAGACGAGTAAATAACTTTAATAATTTATAAACATGATAAACACAATTGATAT